CACTGCCTAATGAAAGATCTTACGTTTCTTTATTTTTCCATTAAATAATTTCCTAAATTTGGGAAACCCTAGCTAGAATCAGACAAGTATGGCGACGACTTTGGAACTAAAGGTTGCTATGTGTGTGATCGGCATTCCATTGTATTTACTCCTAGGGTTTCTTGTATACCTAAATCATGAGCTATTAAAAATAAAAGAACATAGATCATCCTCTAAGTCCAAGGACTGCAAATGTAGCTGCAACCAATGTCCGGACTATCATGAGGATCTCGAGAAAGCACTTTGCAAATCCAATCCAAGTGCAAGCATATTACCACCATGTAAGGATTAACCATATATTCCTAAGTTTGCTAGATATTTTCTTTTTTTTGAATTGAGTAAGTTTGCTATATATTTTCGTTTAAGACTTTGTTGATTGGCCTTGAGAATAAGAGCTTTGATCTATTTTAGACTTTTTTTTCTTCTTCAATCCATTTTTATGAAATATATATATACACATGTGATATTATGTCGTCCATCTTTCTGTTGGTTGATAACATATTTGAATTCCGAAGTTCTGACATAAAATCAAGAAAACATGAAGGGTCAAAACATTAAGCCTACACACAGTGATGAATAGGTTTTGGAATTATATTTATTGATCACACATGATTCGATTGAGGTCAAGCAGATCACTTGGTCTGCTTTGTTACTGCCCTTTGGACTGTTGAAACTCCATCAACGAACTTTGTCCGGAAAAGAACATTGGCATTGTTGAACATTCCTTTTTTCAGCGAAGCCACGATAAACTGTTCGAGGTTTCAATATCAGCAAAAATTGGATTTTAAGTAAACAACATAAAGTGTTGAGATAGAGATTTCGACCTGCGAATGAGCTTTTATCATCCTTCCTATGTTCTGTGTGTAACTTAAACCAAGAGCTGCATCAACCTGAATAATTCAAAATCATTGATTGTTACGCAAGTCAGTTTTTCTACTAAAGATACATTACCAAGAAGTCTGAAAATTAAAAAGCAGAGTTGTACCTCGTCTCTATTCTTCTTAAAGCTGTAGCAAGATTTGCTGCTAACTACAAGTAGTTTCCTGGACAGTTTGATGGAGGAATGGATGAGAAAATTTCACGGTTAAAAACTACTGCCGTCTCTTCTTACCGACTTGGGATGTAACGGCACAGTACTGCCTGATGACCTCATCAATGAGATTGTTTCACGAAGTTGCTGCCTTTATTGGAGGAATCGCGTCTCAACAAGTCATCAAGCTTGTCACAAAGCAGTTTATTCCGATGTTGGGGACTTACATCTTCAATTGGCATTGATGACAAGTCTCACACTGTAGAAGATCTTTCCTTACACAATGGCTTGAAACAGAGAGAAGCGTTTTACCATTTATTTTTATTATTATTTCACCGAGTCAAAGAGAATATTTTCGTGGGTACGAGAAAACAACCTAAAACGATCCTTCTCCAAAATGTATAGACTAGACTAGAGAGTTACCTGCTTCACAAGCCATCAAAATTTAATAACAAGATTTGTGACAAGGAACCAATTCTTCTAATTCGCGTCCAAACCCATGGAGCTTGAGTTAATCCAGACAATCCAACAAAGTGGAACAGATTATTTTGTTATCAGACGGTTTTTATTATTTCACTTGCTAGGCACTGACTGGCTTACACGGTCGCATTTTTCAGTATCACTGCAGCTCCTAAGCGGTAACTGCCATGTACCAATGTTTAGTTCAAAAAAACACCAGTGCAACTAATGGGAGAAACACTATCTTACTCTCGGAGTCATTTGCTAGCTCGTTCGCCTCATCCTCACCGGAAGACGTTTTCACGCAGGCCCTTCTTCCCTCCAGATTTGGTTGCATCAGAAATGAACTTATGATGGTTGGTTCAATGTTCCAGATGCTGTGATATATAAAGGTCATCATCATGGCCTGGAAGAGACTGCATCAAGGATTAGGTAATACCTCAGGTCGGGAACCACCATGCAAGACCGTTGCACCTTCACTTTTAGCCATTGGGATATATTATCGTACTGGAACATTTACATTTGTCAGCTCATTCAGATTATGATCACAGAAGTTGAAGTACATCTAATAAGTAAGAACATGACAAGGCTAATTAAACATAACATGGAAGATGTGAATTAACTGATGCTCTAGAAGCTATACAATTCAGATATTACACAACNCAAAAACTAATCACTGTACCACAAAACTCGATCTCTGACAAAATTCAACTTATTTATTATAAGACTCTCATCAATTATCTTTTTTTCCTGGTTCTAGTAGTGCATTTAGGTTTCACAACCCGATTGTAAAATGATAAAACATAGAAAGACAGACCAAATGAACATTACCTGTCCATAGTTAACGACATGACCAAGCCTGCATCCTTCTTCCATGGGATCTGAAATTTTCATGTTCTTGCTCCATTATACACAAGCTTTTCTATGAATTTTCAACAGGAACTGCATGAAACCGATAAACCACACTTATAATTACTGAGATTAAAAGAAACTATTCCACATGTACTAGGCATACTTTGTGCTTTTATCAGTCCATCATCATCCGCATCTGCTTCACATCACTTGGAACTTTTATTGACAAAGAAGTCATCATCACTCAGGTCTTAAAACCCCTTTTATCTTCACTCTCTGTCTCTGTTTTTCCACACGAAAAAAGATCAAATGATCAACATAACCAGCAATACTTCAAAAGCATAGATAAGGTCAGGAGTCAGGACTCAGAATCCACGCACACTGTACATTTGTTATACAGAAAGTTGAGGGAAAATGGAATATATAAGCATCTCCACATATCAACAATACCTTCCAACTCTTTCCCAGTGGCAACAGCAACAATTATATTGGCTTTTGGTTTGCTCTCGTAATTTACTTTTTCCCTCAGCTACTTCCAAATATCACCTCCACTAAATAGTGATACATACTTGTCCTTTTGGGGAAGAACTGCATTGCACAGCTAAGAAATTTAGCAGAGGACAATATAACAGTTTGAAGAAGCCATTGAAAAGAAACCCCCTTTATCCAGTGTATACACTTGCATTAGTATGCACAACACCAAACAAAAAATCTAAGAATCAATAGTACAATATCCCAGATTGCTTTGCCACTATCAAAGCCTCAAGCTTTGCCTGATGGGTCTTTCTTTCCGTAACCTAAACACACCAGTAAAAGAGATAAATTGAGCTTATAGCTACAGAACATTAAACTGATTACACAAAGATCTGAATACCATCAAAATGGATACCTTTGCAGCAATAGCACATATATACTTTGCACAAACAGCTCCTGATGCTTTAGCCCAATCTTTCCCCAATTTATTTCTTGTAAATGCTCTTCGAGCAGCGTTCACTGCATTGTAGCAGCAGGAACATCACCATATGATCAATTTCAACGAAAACCCATGAAAGCTCGACATTAAGCTAAGACCCAGAAGATCGGATCAAGCTACGACGCCCAGAAGCAATCGAAAGCTCGACATCAAGCTAAGACCCCGAAGATCGGATCAAGCTAAGACCCCGAAGATCGGATCGAAGATCGAGTTACCAATAATTCCTTCGTAGCTGGATTCACACGATCGTCCATCGCCAATTTTTTGTTTTTAAATAAAATTAATTTCTTCGACCGTTAACAAAAAAAACTAATTCCGATCGTATTAACTGGAAAATCATATTCATGAAATGATATTTACATCAAGAATCGATATGTACAAAATCAAATTTGATATACAATCTATAGATTCTAGTCGTACTGCTACATCTCGACCCAGATACACAATCCCATCCCGATTCTAAGCATAAGAACAAGACCCAGATTCTAATCGATACTAGTACTATTTCCGATTCCACAAGACCCAGATTTCAACACAAGACCCAGATTCCAACACAAGAAGTGTATCCATCCTTCAAGATCCGGAGGTTGTTAATCCAGTGCATCTGCAAGCCCGGTGAATACTGCACTTCCGATCATCACACAAGCAAGAACCCACCATACCGAAAACTTAGTTTCTCTTGGACTTCCGAGTTCTTCATTCTGAAAAATTGCGATCGCTACTACCACCTCTAAAATAGAAATAACTATGGCCACCAAAATTCGGACCCAGTGATCTCCTCCGACATTTGGTATCATCGATCCCAAGATCATGGGGAGAGCTCCACCAAGAACAAAGTAGCCACCCGACGAGGCAGATTCCTTTACGCAAGCCCAAAATCCCATGTTCTTTAGATTGGTTTCCATGAATTTTGTCAAGAGAGTTCCGAGAAACGTCCCAGCGAAAAGAACCCAAGGAAGCCACCAGTTTTGCTTCAACTTAGCGGTGTATTGGATAGTTAAGCACACCGGAGCGGCCATAACTCCTGCAATGAAATTCGTCATCACATTCACGGCGTAATCATTATCAGCCATTTGTTTGTTTGAAGAAGATGAAAGAGAGCGATTCTGAAAAGTGAGATTGGATTTGAGATCGAATTAGGTCAAGAAGATGAAAGAGAGAGAGCGATTCTGAAAAGTGAGATTGGATTTGAGATCGAATTAGGTGAAGAAGATGGCACAGAGAGAGCGATTCTGAAAAGAAAGTGAGATTGGATTTTGAGATCGAATTACCGCTTAATCTATATTTATAAACGCATCGTTTTGCGGTTTCTTGCGATCGATGATGGGCCTTATTTTATTTCGTTTGTTTCGTAATTTGGGCTTCAATATTTCGTTTTGTTTCATAATTTGGGCCTCAATAAAAAGTTGACTAAACACTAGATATTTGTCACGTCTACTATGAAATTCTCCTCTCAATATACACAGGATGAGCACACTAGGTGAAAATCCTAGGTATTATTTTAAAAGAGTTTCAAGGAACGTTTTTACGAATATGGAAGTAACAAATATATGGTAATTAATGTGAAATATTTTATTTTAAAAATATAGAGTATTTGTGAGAATATCTTATTTTGTTTTTAGTAATACTAGATTTTTTAATCCGCGTCAAACGCGAGATTTGAATATTTTC